GGGGGGGGGGGGGGGTGTAAAAAAATAAATTAAAAAAAAACAACTATTATCAAATTTTCAAAATGTAATAATGGTTAAAAAAGAGGTTTAATAATATCAATGTAACTTCAAAACTAAAATCTTTGATTACTATTATAATAAATTAGATATTTAATTCTATACAATACTAGATTACATTACCTACATGAAGGTAATATTTTTAGGTTGGAACACTAAGTTTTAAGATGGTTGGCATTAATTTTAATCAGCACAGCTAGATGACTAGTTTAATCAAATGTACACAACCAGGATTGAATCCACAAGGACATCAAAAACTAGACAACTCCACAAAATTGTTACAGTAAATTAGCTTTAATCATTAAAAACATTTTATAACTTGAACCATCTGTCACTCACACTCACCACAGCTAATAATTCAGATAAAAACAGCTCACGCCGCCGCACTTGCACATTGTTCCCTTCCAGAGATTATCAGGTATGTGTTGGGGGGTGGCAATCATTACTTTAATGCACAAGAAACAAACTCATCTCAAGTCATTTTGTTAGTTAACACAAACTGAAGTCTGTAGGTTTTACCAGAACCCAGCACAGGTAACTTCCTGATATGTGGAATGAAGCAATTTTGATCGTTAATAATTTTTGAGGTTGAAGGTAGTGGTTTGAAAATCTGACAGAAATCTACCCCCCAACCCCCTAGTAGCGCCAGTCTTCAGGTTATTTATGCTGTCACCATGAATAGACAGACATAAACCCAACAATCCTGTTTAAATCATCCACAAACTCACCACATGTTCTCACACCAGCACGCACACATATTTTACAGGTTCAAGGTCACAAGCTCACCATTGGAAACACACAAGACTGAGAAGTACCAGGGTCCCAAAGCCTCCGTGACATTTCAAGCCAACACAAGATGGCATGACATTGTCTAAAAGCCAACCAACCATTTTATAAGAAACAAGATTCTGCACTGCTAATACTGCTGTTATTCTCACCGCCAAGCAAGCCAGCAGTACATTGACAAAAGAATGTTTCCTATAAAATTTAAATGGAACACCATTCATCATAACAAACAAACCAACACTGGAGGATGTTGTGGCTGTACACATGATGAATGTGGGTGAAATGAATTGAATGGAAGTGAATAAGAATGATGGTAAAGATGAAGTACTTGATGACCTTGGGTTACATCGGAGGGCCACCCATCCTGGGCGGCTGGCCTGGCATTCCCCCTGAAAAATAGAAAAGTTTACATTAAACAGTTTTTTTCCTCTAGTAATAACGAACACACCTATGTCCAATAAAAAATAATAATAAAGATTTCAATGCAAAAAATAAATTAACTATGGTATCAATAGAGGTATAAATGATTTATTCAGTCTCAATAAGTATCAATCTGTAATTCTAAAAGAATATTTTCAGTAAGGGGCCTAATCACTTCATCAACAAAAGCTCAGAGATAATAGTTGCATTATTATTTACACAGGGAAAAAAAAAAATTGTTAAATTGCTTCCATATTAGATTTTCGACTACCACTTAAACACTGCTAAGTACATTCAGCCAACCACTTTAAACTCAAAATAATTTGTGTTCGGCCTCAGTTTTTATAAACCATCCTCCACCTTCCTCACTGGCAGTCTCTGTCCCCAGGCAGTAATAATAAGTTCGGTGGGCACTGCCAGTCTATTGCCTCCAGCTACAAGCGATTATGCATTCATCAGCCCAACTCCCCATTATTGATCCCACCTCAGAGATTTTTTTTTTGTATGCCCCCTGGCCACTAGGCAAGACATAAATACCACCAGCCAGAGGAGGCTTTCATACCACTGTGCCTTAAGTGCAAGATTGAGCCACGCATGAAATTCAAGTATACAAATTTAGCCACTTCTTGCATTTGAGGGACAAAACTACACAACAGGTTTTTTAATTCAGTTCTGCTCAACAGCACAGGACATTTATGATTTACTCATGAATGTGAAATAAAAAAATAGTAAACACGGAGAGTAAAAAAAAATATTTTTACAAAATAAAATAATTATATATAGAATACCGGTATAGAAAAACGTCATGTAGCCAATACTATCAGTTATAGTGATTCTGATACACATATCTAAATATGAAATTTTGTTTTGAAAAACCTTAAAAGTACTAATATTACTAATAACAATAACTGATATCCTAAAACCTCAAACATCTTTCTAAAATAATGACTGCAACAGAAAATACACTACTTTCTAACAAATGACCAAGACAGCAAATCTCCTAACATCATCTTTGGCAAAGCCTTCACCCATTTATTTTTCAAGGCAAGTTATGGAATAAATAACACCCAATTGAATTCCCCATTTCATCTTTTCAACTAGAGTGTTAGCCCCCAGCCCTTCAAAGCCTTTCAATCATTGCATTCATTATTATGTGTTTTATTTCTGTTGCCTTCAAGCCCCCGGGGCCATTCATCTTCTCCTCCAGATCCATGCCCTGAAAGCAAGTTTTCCCATTGGTTATGGTTGCTGCCCCAGGCTTCATCTGCCCTATGAGCTTCCATTCATTATAGACTTTCCCTCACATGCCCTTGGGCTTGACAGGTGTTTTAAAAAACAGGAGAGAGAGAGAGAGAAAGAGGGAAAAAAAGGTTAAATGGAGTTTGCCAAGATTCTTAAGTACTGGCTTACGGTCTGCTGGTAAGAGAGTGCTATTGAAATAGTGTAAAGGACACTGAACAAACAGCTTTGACCACTGCTAATGTTAGACACTCCCATATATAATCAATAACAATAAAAGGACAAAGCTGATAAGACTGGAGTTGGAGAAGAGTTGGCACCGCCTTTTTATAGTATAAAATATAATTTAATACAATGAAACACGCTGACTTGACATTTCCTCACTGTGAAGCATAAGTCTAATAAGTTCAGAAATTTGTTCTTTTCAATTATTTTAACTCTTGTGTCCATGGGTCAAATCTTCATTTTGACTGAGTCATTTTATTTTGAGGAGATAAAATTTTATTTTAGGTGTCTACAGGCAATATGTCATAATTGTTCTTCTTTAAAGCTATTATAATGTTTTATATACCGGTACCTAATTGCGTTGCAGAATGAAATGGGAAAATTCTAATAGTTTTACAGGACTGGCTAACATGAAAGCAGAACGTTTAGTTGATAAAAAGTCAAAAAGAGCCTACCGGTTTGTTATTTTTGTGTAACATGTAAATATTAACATTACTGGATGCAAAATACCTTTTTCTGTGGCAGTTTGAAATATAATATACAGGTCATATAGAGAAATATCTCGACAAATGTTTGGTTTTATAAGGTGTTATTACATTGTGAAACAGAAAATGGTATTTTGTAATGCTCTTGCACGGTGTTACAAATCCGATTTTGCAGATTTGCATGGGCTATTTCAGACATTTAATACTTACGCTTTATGCACATACTGAGAATTGAAGAGCTAATTATACACAAAAATTGTCATTTTAATTAATTGTGTATATTATATAAAGAAAAAACCATTTGATAATAATTTGTGAAGAGAAAGATTATGAAATTCAAGAAAAACGAATTCACTGAATGATACAGTCATAAGCATGTGTTATGATGTAGCTGTGGTTTGGTTATCATTTTAATATATTGAAAAATAGTTGTTTTTTTTTAGACAATTCAGAGTTTCTGTAATGATGTCCATCAGTAAACAATGCTTGAAACAGAAAATAACCTTTTAAGACAGACAGTCTTTGTTACAGTTACTACTGGATGTAGAAGCCATTTTGTAGGTAAACATTTTTTTTTATATTACAAAATTCTTCAGTAAGAAAAACTGAAATAACTGAGAAAAATTGGGCCAGCAGAATGCAACTGAATGTAGAGTGAAGTGAAAATCAAGGGCTTCCCCCTGTCCCTGTACAAATATATCCAAAAATTGCATTGGTGGATAGTAAATTTTTTTGGTACATGATCTAACCAAGTTAGGGTTTATAGACTTTTAGTGTTTAGAGATTTACAGTGTTGATATAATACAAATATAAAACATATGAGCAGTGGATTACTAACTAATCAAATCAATAAATTTAACATAAATAAAGGATCATATGGAAAGAAATGCTTTATCCACAGGCTGTAAAGATGTGGAAAAAATATGATTCTAAACTAATCCATTTGTTTCTGTTATTTAATAATACAGTATTCCTCTTGAATTTGTGTAAATTACAATGTAAAACTTATAATATAATATATTTACAGTATACCCAACTTGGTGTGTGAATAAAATTGATTTTCAACTTACTATATGGTTGACTAAACTATACAAAAAGGAACACACAAAATCACCATAATAATATGGTCCTTGGTATTGTCAACCTTTTTATGTGGATGTCAAATAGCTTCTTCTTTTAAATAATTCAAAAAATTTCTGTTTGACTAGTACCTGTAATTTAAATAACACTTTCTTTGACAGTAAATCTTAAAATAATAAAAGATCAGCCCCATCTCAACCAAAACCCAACATGGTCAGAAATGTGCACTGAGCCCTGAAATGCCATCTTCAAACAATACTGTCAATACCATCCTTTAATTCCTAGATAACTGATAATTTCTTTTAAAATTTATCAATGCAAAATTTTCAAATTACTTTACTCTTCAAACTGACATGTTCTTTTATTTTTTTTGTGTTGGAATAGAAGAATAGAATTAACTGCATTTCCTAAAATGGAGGATAGTGAACCACTGGGGCAATGGTGGGCTCAGAGACCATATAGAGGTGTTGAAGGGCATTGAGTGGGGTTGTTTTGAAACAGTAGAATTTGCATTAATCTGATTTTTAACAATGGCTTTTATAGCCAAAATAATAATAATAAAAGACATGCAAAGACCAGAAATTTGGTAAATAAAATTGGTATGGGTGCTGGTACTACATTTTGCAAAATAAATGGTATTTTACAATGTTTCTGCTTTGATCTAGAAGACAATCTCACATATAATATTCAAATTTCTTTTAATTCGTCCACATGGTACTAAAGTTTCAACAATCAGCAGTTAATTGAAAACATTGTTTCAATAGAATTACTAGAATTTGGTGTGAAGATAGTATACTCACATGGTCTCTATTTCTTTCGATTATAATTGGTGAAAAGCTATATATGTGCCTAACACAGCAAATTATGATAAAATGTCTTTATACTTATTAGCAGAGTAATGAAAAATAAGTTTGAGATCTTAAACATATTTTTTTCCTTTTTCAAAATAGGTATCTATAAATGCAATGATTACTAAAGCTTATATAACTGAATTTAAAAAAGAAAATATCATTATTTTTTTACTACTCCACAATGAAAAAGTTTTTTGTGCAATGCTGCTGGTTTAAATCAATTTAAACTCTTTGACTCAGTAATGAATTGCTTTTAAATCTAAGAATATTTCGAGAAAACTTACTTCAGTTCAAAGGGACTTAGCTTATTTTACACTCTTTACAAATTTAAATGTTAGAAATTTCCAGCTTCAAGGAAATGCAATAAATTTTACTATAAAAAAGACTAGTATTTTCTACTTTTTATCAAAACTTCTCTTATATAAACACTATATGTTGCCAGTATGACTTGAAAATATCACGGAGATGGTAGCAGTTATTATAAAGATTTGATGTGGGAACTCCTTGAGTAAAAAAAATAAGGATTCAAAGATTTTAATAGGGTGAATGGACAGTTTGGCAGATTAACTAGCTAACAGACCATGTGATATTACAAAATGCTATTCAGACACTGGTATTAAATGTAAATGAAGTGTAGACTAGAGCTGGTGATTGAACTACTCTAAATTACTAGCTAGCTAGTTAATTTGCTAGCTTGGACTATGAGTAACAACTTTTAAAACACATCTTGACTACACTATTAAGATTGCAAAAGAGATGCTTTTCTCAGATCGTAGGCTGTAGTAAAACTAATATAATCATCTCCATCATTGTATTAAGTGGAAAACAAGCTGAACATAAGCACAAATAATTTGATTAAAAGAAGAAACCGACTCCTGATAAGAGAAATAACTGTATAGCTGGGAATTCAAAACATGCTTACATGGCATGGAATAATGGTAAGGAAGGATTACATTAAAAAATCCTAGTAATGATGACCACCGTAATACATTATTGTATTCTTGCAAGCTATCAGTTGGTAAAACTATCTTACAATTTGAAGTAAATTTGTATGGTAATAATGTCAAAGAGAGTATTCATTTAACATGTTAAAATATAACATTGAAGGGAAATATATACTGCTTCAACCAAAGGACCTACATTTTTATAATTAATCTAACTTTAACTATTGCTCTTAAGACTAACCTCTCATAACAGGCATTGGGCCTGGTCCTCGTGGCATTCCCTGTGGCCTCATGTTTCCTGGCCCGCCCATCATCATTGGAGGACCACCACGACCACCTTAGAAAAATATTTCCATTAAAAATGTGTAAGATATATCAGATAATAACATAAAAGTTAATAAAGGTGCCCATTATATGAGAAATAAAGGTGGCGCAGAATTTAACAAAGAATGTTTACACTAGTAAAAAGAAAAAGCATAGACCTGCTAATTAAAAAAATTATGAAGGTAAAAATGTTTAAAAGCATGCAATATTTAAAACAAATTCCTTGTTTTAAAGTTTGATTTTGAGATGAAACACACTTCATGAACTTACTTCATATTTAATAGCACTAATCTAACATGTTAACCTACCCATTGGTGGTCCACCTGGGCCTCCCATTCTTGGTTGTGGAGTCATCATTTGGGGTGAAGGACCACCCACACCTCGAGCAGGGCCTTGGAGACCTGGTGCCCCACCCATTCCTCCAGCTCCACCCATACCACGACCAGCTGCCCTACCAACTCCAGGTCCTGTACTGGCTCCAGATAAAGGTACTCTGGCAACACCTTCCTGAAAATATAATATCAGTAGCAATATGAAAAAGAATGGAGGTCTTGCACAGGAAGTTTTTTTAAAAGGTACTTAACCCTTTACGGGGCAGAGTGGCAGAAAACGTCTTTACCACTTAAAGGGCAAAACGCCCAAAAGCGTCCGTGACGACATAGAGTTGTTTTCTCGTGACCTCCGAGGCTTTGTGAGACTTCCTATTGTTTACATCCGGTTTTTCCGATAGCTAAATGGAGTAGGCGCCATTTATAAGTATTTAATCAATTTTTTTTGTAGTTTTAGGGGTTTTAAAAATTTATTTTTTTCCAAAATGGATTTTGCAGATTATTTGTGCCTATTATTCAAGTCATAGCAGAGATTTCGCTGGATTCAATTTAAGTGACATTTAAGTGCACGAATTGACTGTAAATGGGAACTAGATAGTAATATTAGTAGTAATATTAGTGAAATCAGTGTAGTAAGCAGTGTTGAATTTTACAAACTTCGATTATGTGGCAGTGTTTGTCACAATCACAAACAATGTGTACTTTTTTGCAAATATTTGTGTTCAAATGAGGATTAATGGCATCATGTTAGTACAATAATATATCTGCATTCATTTTCCTTTAGATTTGTTTTTTATTTCACACAAATTTGTTGAATAACACCTTAGATTTGATTTTTTGATTTTTTTGGGTAACGTTACCCTAAATCTTACTAAAAAACGGAAAAGTGGTGCCCGTTGAGGACATGCAAGAGGAAGTACCTCTGCCCCGTAGAGGGTTAAAGACCAAATTTAAGTACTCACAGAGAAGTAAGCTATGCAAAACAAATACAGTATGCTCTCAGGCTAATTGCAACACATACATCAGTGTTTTCAGACATCAGCAAGAACAAAGTGATTAGTTATGTGTGCATAATATTATATTATATTGATTCTGCATATCCTTTCAGGGTTTTGAGAGTACAGAGTAGGGCCATTCTTACTTTAATTCATAAATACAATAACACTACTTTAACTAACACATAATCATGATGTTGGCAAAGATATCGACAAGCTGGAATAATTGGAACTCTGACAATAATACAAACAATTACCTCAGCTGCTGGTGGCCCTTCTACGGTCATTGAGACTAGATGTTCACCACGTAACAACACCAAGCCCAAAACCCTTTTTTCTTCACGCTCATTAGATTTTACATTCTTGGGCTTGATCTTTCTGAATTCATCACAGTCACCCAAAATAAGATTCATGTGTTTATCGAATGCTTTAAAAGTGCCTATGAATATGCGTCCGTCTTGCAGCTGACAGCGCATCCTGTAATTGATGTGCTGCAGCATTTTGGAGCTTTTGCCAGTTGACTGAAAAGATAATAATATCCTTATTAATTATAAACAAAAAAGATAACTATTCTACATCTTTTATGACTGGGCAAATAGCCCTATCTGTATTACGTTTAAAAAAAAAGCTTAAAAGCACCAAAGCCAAATCAAATAAAAACAGCTAAGTCAAGTAAAGTAAAACTAAGTTCTAAAAAGTGAAAAAGATTTGTAGTAGCTGGATATTTTTGTATAAATAATGAATGTGAAAGAGTGACTAGTATGTCATGTATAATACGATGGCCTCTTAAACTACTCCATTGCTAAGCTAAGATACAATGTAATAATTCGAATAAACCAAAATGTAAAAGACAATATAAATAATAGAATCTAGCTATGATTTCGTTCAACTTTCGATTTCAGAATTTATCATTCTGCCATTTGTAAACAAAGGAAGCCGGCTATGTAAAATGTTATACCGTGCTTATTCTGTCTTATCTTATCAAAATAATTAAGATCAAAATGTAAGTAATGCCATAAAAGATTATTATTTAAATACATACCATTTTGATTAATCGATGTCGAACGATTGAAATAAAAAATATTTTAGGTATTAAGAAGTATACGTAGATTAATCGCGCTAAAGCGTCTACGCAATTTGCTTCCGGTTCAAACAACCGTTTAAGCGTAGTGGAAGGGGAATAACCTTCAATATTTTAAAATGACATTTTTTTGTAAGTTGTCTCCCTTAAAAGGTTACTGTTATTATATTACAAAAATTAAGTTTAAGAGGTAAACTACTAACATGGAAACGAACACAACGCATTGACAGTTGCTTGGTACCCTGGGCACCCATTACCTCAGTATATTTAGCAAGCTGGGGGGGGGGGGGGGGGGGGCAGTGGAGTTGCTAGAGTTTGTGATTAATGAGACACAAACAATTTGTGTAAATGAAACAATATACTAAATTATATATGTTAATAGCTAAGCTTGAATTATGATAAAACAATTAAAAACTTCAAAAGTTTCGGCAAACACCTACACCATTCGACCTTAATTTATAATTAAATTCATTTTTGTAAAAACTGGTGAAGCCAATTTGTCGAATATTTTTTTTTTAAAAGGGGGTGGGTGGGGGGGGGAATCAAAACCGAAAAGACACGCTACAGCAATGTCATTAAAATCTTAATGACTCCCGTATTAACATTGTTTATTGTCTGATCGTTACAAATTAATTATTGAGTTTTAAAAAAAAAAAGTAAACACTTTGGGGTTGTCCATAAAGTAGGTCTCCTTCACGCTCCGTAAGTGGGGGGGGGGG